CATATCGAGACCCTGTCTCTGAAAAAAAAAAAAAAACAAAAAAAAAAAAAAGAAAAAAGAAAAGAAAACCTGCAGAGTCGGGCGCAGTGGCTCACACCTGTACTTCCAGCACTTTGGGAGACCAAGGCAAGGGCATCACCTGAGGTCAGGAGTTCATGACCAGCCTGGTCAATATGGTGATACCCCGTTTCTACTAAAAATACAAAATTAGCTGGGCATGGTGGTACATGCCTGTAATCCCATCTACTTGGGAGGCTGAGGCAGGAAAATCACTTGAACCTAGGAGGCAGAGATTGCAGTGAGCCGAGATCATACCATTGCACTCCAGCCTGGGCGACGAGTGAAACTCCGTCTCAAAAGAAACCTGCAATCTGTGACTGGTGAGTTAAGCCCTGTTAGAACTTTTAGTAGTCAAGCCTACAGGATTACTTATTGAAGTTCGTAATTTTTTTTTTTTTTTTTTTTTTTTTTTTTTGAGATAGAGTCTCGCTCTGTCGCCCAGGCTGGAGTGCAGTGACACGATCTTGGCTCACTGCAATCTCTTCGTCCTGGGTTCAAGCAGTTCTCCTGCCTCAGCCTCCTGAGTAGCTGGGATTATAAGCATGTGCCACCATGCTCGGCTGGTTTTTGTATTTTTAGTAGAGACGGGGTTTCGCCATGTTGGCCAGGCTGGTCTTGAACTCCTGACCTCAGGTGATCCACCCGCCTTGGCCTCCCAAAGTGCTAGGATTACAGGCCATCAAGCCTGGCCACAGTTAATAATTTCTTGCTTGCATGTCACTTTTACTGCTACTGTGTTACTTATTCTTCTTAACACTAAAAGACAGTGTAGGAGGCCTGTTTATTGTCCTTTGGTCCTCATTGTTGAATGAATTTAAATTGAGTCTCTGGCCATGTTCAGTGTAATGTTCTTTCTCTTACTGTACAGGGCATTGCAGACAGGCTGGTCCTTTTAGACCTCTCAGAAGGGACTAAAGGAGCCACGATGGACCTTGAAATCTTCAACCTTCCTAATGTGGAGATCAGCAAAGGTCTGTTTATTCTGCTTAAAGATGTTTGCCTTATTAGCTCTTCATTTTTGACTCCTAGAATGTTAATGCTGAAAAGCACCTTAAAGATCACCTTGTCCAAGTCTCTCATTTTACATATTGGGAAACTAAGATTGAAATAAGTTAAATGACTTACCCAAAGTCATTCAGGGATTTTAACTGATTATATTAATAGGAATCAAATGAGCAAATAATTCAGATTTATTCAGATTGGTCAGAAGGAGTTATTCTTTGTTTTTGACTTATACCTCAAAATAAATTTATCTCTGATTGCCTCTTTTTTTTTTAGAATATATTGGTTAAGAGCATTGGCTTTAGAGTTCCACAGATAGAAGTTTCCATCCCTGCTCTGCAATGATAGTGCTGACATTTGTCAGATTATATAATCTCGCAAACTTCAGTTTTCTCATCTATAAAGTAGAAATAATACCTACCTCTTGGTATCTAGCAAAGTTCTAAACCAAGAATAAGAAAAAAAGTTTTAGCTGGGTGTGGTGGCTCATGACTGTAGTCCCAGCTATGTGGGAGGCTGAGGCAGAAGGATTACTTCAGCCCAGGTGTTCAAGGCTGCAGTGCACTAGGATTGTGATTGTGAATAGCCACCATACTCCAGCCTGGGCAACATATCGAGACCCTGTCTCTGAAAAAAAAAAAAGGAAAGAAAAGAAAAAAAAAGAAAGAAAAAATTTCAGTTTACATTCATTGCACTAAAAATACATTGTTAAAATAAATTTTAATAATAAAAAGATTTTCTACATCAATAACATTTGAAATACTAAATTTTCTATCTCTCTCTTTTTTTTTGAGTCGGGGTTTCACTCTGTCACCCAGGTGTGAGTGCAGTGGCATGATTCAGCTCTCTGGAACCTCCACTTCCCCAGCTCAAGCTATCCTTTCACCTCTGCCTCCCAAATAGCTGGAACTACAGGCATGCACTACCATGCCTGGCTAATTTTTGTATTTGTAGTAGAAACGGGATTTGCCTTATTGCCCAGACTGGTTTTGAACTCCTGGAGTCAAGTGATCTGCCCGCCTCAGCCTCCCAGAGTACTAGGATTACAGTCATGAGCCACTGCACCCTGCCCTATCTCGTTTTTTAATTTAAAAATTTGCATGTATTTTACAATGTACATAACATATTAGTATAGACATATTTATGTAGGTAAATACCATATTTGGGGATGTGGGGTTGAAAATATTTTACCAAGGATGCATGATCCAAAAAAAAAAGAAAAAAGGCCACTGAACTAGAATAAACATTTCCCAAAGCCTTTCTACCTAGTTATGGGTAAGGTCAGATTATAACATGCTATAGTTATTTGGCTTCCCTTTGCCTTTCCTTAGGTCCCCTTTATTCCTTGACAATATTTTCCAAATAATATATAAAGACATACAGTATCACAAGCCTTAATAAACTAAGGAATGTAGTCAGAAAAGTTGAAATTATACCTATCAGTTGTAAAAGTTAGGTGTAGAAGTTTTAGTAAGCCTTTGGCTGCCTGTAGGATACAATGAGTTCATTTTCCTTCTCGGGAAAGAGTACCATAGTTGCTTTAAGGATCTTTTTTATAGGTCTCATGTAGAAGTTCTTTGGGGAACTGGATATTCTCTTGTACCTGTGATTTTCAGGTACTAAAGTTCTTAAGGGACTTCCTAACTCTTCTAAATCACTTTAGGAGACTCTTTAGTATATGGACTCTAGAGGTTGTGAGACCACGTAGGACCTGAAGAAATTGTTCCTTCCTGTGTATCTCATTAACCATCAATAGTTATTGCTTCAGATAATTGAAAGACTAGAATCCTTGGAATAGATGTGTAGTATATGGTGCTTGCCACCAAGTAAGGAGTCAATAGTTATCTGTTGAATGTTGAATGAGTGTATATCATCTTGGGGTAACTTTCATTCTTGTTCCCCTTATTAATTGTGGTTGTACTTTTCTTTTCTTTTTTTTTTTTTTTAAAGAGACAAGATCTTGCTCTGTGGTCCAAGCTGGAGTGCAGTGGTGCCATCATAGCTCATTATAACCTCAAACTCCTGGGTTCAAGCGATCCTCCCACCTCAGCCTCCTAAGTAGCTTGGACTACAGGCATGTGCCACCATGCCTGGCTAATTTATTTTCATTTTTGCAGAGACAGGGTCTTGCTCTCTTGCCCTGGGCGGTGTTAAACTCCTAGCCTTAAGCAGTACTTCTATCTCAGCCTCAAAAGTATCTGGGACTACAGGTGCATGTCACCATACCCAGCTTGGTTGTATATTTCTGATAGCATTTAATTTAATTACTATTAGATGAAGTAATTTTATTTATTTGTTTATTTTTTTTTAGACAGTGTCTCACTCTGTTGCCCAGGATGGAGGGCAGTGGCAGAATCATGGCTCACCGAAGCCTTGACCTACCAGGGTCAAGTGATTCTCCCATCTCAGCCTCCCAAGTAGCTGGGACCACAGGCACGTGCCACACCAAATTTTTTTTTTTTTTTTTTTGAGACAGAGTTTTACACTTTTGCCCAGGCTGGAGTGCAGTGGCATAATCTCGGCTCACTGCAACCTCTGCCTCCTGGCTTCAAGTTATTCTCCTGCCTCAGCCTCCCGAGTATCTGGGACTACAGGTGCCCGCCACCACGCCTGGCTAATTTTTTGTGTTTTCAGTAGAGACAGGGTTTCACCGTGTTAGCCAGGATGGTCTTGATCTCCTGACCTCATGATCTCTCCACTCAGCCTCCCAAAGTGCTGGGATTACAGGTGTGAGCCACTGCCCGGCCCTAATTTGTTAATTTTTTGTAGAGGCAGGGTCCCCCTTTGTTGCCAAGGCTGGTCTTGAACTCCTGGGTTCAAGCCATCCTCCCTCCTCGGCCTCCCAAAATGCTGGGATTACAGGCATGAGCCACTGTGCCCATCCTTAGATGAAGTAATTTTAAATGTAATGTTAACTGACTTCTCATGAATATATTCTGTGATATGGAGAAGTACATTAATAATTTGGGGAATTAAAGCTCATTTGGAAATTTTAGTAATGCCCCATCGTAACACACATAGATGATTGCAGCTGACTGATCATCTGATGTCTTTTTAAATAACTACTATAACATTTTGGGGAGGGATATACATATATACATATGAGCATGAAAATTTACATACAGATACATACATACATACATATACAGTTATGCTTGTGTATATACAGACAATCTAGAGAAATACTAAGAAACTGTTAAGATGTTGGGCGCGGTGGCCCATGCCTGTAATCCCAGCACTTTGAGAGGCTGAGGCGAGTGGATCACCTGAGGTCAGGAGTTCAGGACCAGCCTGGCCAACATGGTGGAACGCCATCTCTACTAAAACTACAGAAAATTAGCCAGGCGTGTTGGTGGGTACTTGTAATCCCAGCTACTCAGGAGGCTGAGGCAGGAAGATCACTTGAACCCGGTAAGCGGAGATTGCAGTGAGCTGAGATTGTGCCACTGCACTCCAGCCTGGGCAACAAGAGTGAAACTCTGTCTCAAAAAAAAAAAGAAAAGAAACTATAGAGAGTAGTTGCTTCAGGAGTCAGACTGAGGGAATTGATTTTGCACTTGTTTTTTACATATAACAGTATATATGTTTAAATCTTTTTATCTTTTTATTGTGCTCAAATACATATAACATAAAATTTACCATTGGTGACTTTAGGTACTTATTCACAATGTTGTGCAACTATCACCACTAATTTCCAGCATTTTCACCACCCCAAAAAGAAGCTCTGTATACATTGAGCAATTACTCTCCATTTTCCTTTCTCCCAGGTTCTGGCAACTTCTAATCTGTCTGTTCTGTGGATTTTCCTCTACTAGCTATTTTATATAAATGGAATCAGATGGTATGTGACTTTTGTGTCACTTCGCATAATGTTTTCAAGGTACATACATATTGTGGCATGTGTCGGTGCATCATTCATTTTTGTGGCTAATGTTTCTTGGTATGGATATACCACATTTTATTTAACCATTTATCGGTTAATGGATATCAGGTTGCACTTTTTTACTATTGTAACTAGTGCTACTGTGAACATTCATGTACCAGTTTTTTTAATGCCTCTTTTTGGTTCTTTTGGATATATATCCAAAATAAAATTGCTGGATTATATGGTAATTTGATCTTTAAGTTATTAAGGAATTAATTCTACATTTTTGAAGATCTTTATTAACAGTACATATAATATAGCTCTAAGTAACTCTATTTCTTTGAAAAGGTTCATACATAATATTCCATCATATGAATGACTGTATTTTCTTTTTTTTTTTTTTCCTGAGGCAGAGTCTTGCTCTGATGCACAGCCTGGAGTGCAGTGGCACAATCTCGGCCCACTGCAACCTTCGCTTCCTGGGTTCAGGCTATTCTCCTGCCTCAGCTTCCCAAGTAACTATGATTACAGGAGCACTCCACCATGCCTGGCTAATTTTTTTTTTTGAGACGAAGCCTCGCTCTGTCACCCAGGCTGGAGTGCAATGGCGCTTTCTCAGCTCACTGCAACCTCCGTCT